AACAGTCAATTCGACCTTGCTAACCAGACGGTCCTCTGTAGCAAAACTGGTATAGCACGTCAGGCTATATGACGTTTCCTTGTAGTATACAGGTTTCGTTTCCTGTCGGAGGTCACATATTTTCCATGAAAATTTCTCGGACATTCATGCCGGTAAATGTTAATACTGTTTAAAAACAGAGCATTTACTTAAATATCTGTATATTTAAAATAACGTATAAATATATATATATATATATATATATATATATATATATATATATATATATATATATATATATATTCTTGTTTAATTTACACGAATATGAAAAAAAATACTAATTATTTCTGGATTCTGTTTTTATCTTTATTACTTTTATCACAGATTTTCGGTCTGCCAAATCTACTTCCCAAAGAACTATGTTCGTTCACAAATAGGTTTTAGGTTTAAATTTTCACCAGCTTAATAGAATGACTTAATGTTAAATTAAATTTTCGAATTTTCAAGAAACAATGACATTTTTAAAATTACTGCATTTCAGACAGCGCTAATGTCATTCTTTGTGATCATCGAGAGTTTAAAAAACTCAATAACACAATTTACATTCGTTATCTAGAAACTAGTCCCTATATACTTTCACGCTGTATGGCAGATATCTAATCAGCACAACCAATGAAATTTCACACCAAAACAAACAATACCCTACCCTTACACATCTGTGTGGCGTCAGATGTATATCAGCCCCCTCTCGAATCACACCTGCCACTGTTAATCACAGGTAATTTTCCCGTGTGGCAAATTTTTGTTCCTGAGTAAAAGTGTGAAGAAAAGTATAGATAATTTCTTATTTTTTAGCGCCAACTAGAAAAGAAAGTGTTTGTTATTTCTTTAAAAAGAATTATGGCCGGAAACCCAATCACCAGACCAGAAGTTTTACACAGGCTCGTAATTGGGATTCGCCCAGGGAATATTGAATAGAATTTTATCGACTACAAGTTTATTTGTTAACTTCCGCTCTACGGAAAGTGAACTGAAAATATTTCTGTCTGTGGATACAATTTGAAAGGACAAATAAAGAATGGCGACAGAAATGATTTCGGTCACACCTACTTGTTGAAATTTAGGCGCAATTTATAGAACGTTTAAAGTACAGACGATCTCAAATGATAAAATCCGCAATGCCAAAGGTTTATTCTCAACATTAAAACATCGTCATATAAATGGCGATACATGCTCTCTCTCTCTCTCTCTCTCTCTCTCTCTCTCTCTCTTTATCTCATACTTATTCTCTCACGACCTCTCTGTCTTTATTTCTCTATCTCTTTGTTCTCTCTTTCTTTCTCTTTCTCTCTCTCTCTCTCTCTATATATATATATATATATATATACATATATATATATATATATATAATTTTGCCTGTTAGCGCGCTCTGTCTGTTTATCTATCGCCCTCTCTCTTTCACTCTCTCTACCTCTATATGTCTTTCGCTCGCTATTTCTCTCTCTATTTCTCTCTCTCTAACTTTTTATATATATATATATATATATATATATATATATATATATATAAATAAATCCTAAACAGCCAGGAACAACCTACCTAGGTTTCACCTAAACGGATCTTCAGGGTAAGCTTACTCGATTTTTTTTTTCGTCGGATTAAAAACAAATAAGGCACTGGACGATTTATTTCCCCCTGTTCAGATGTTTTTAATTCTTTCTTTTTTTTCTCCAATTGTTTTCCTTGGGTACCAATTTATTTTGATAGACTTACAAGTTGTGCAATCCGATTTTTTTTTTACAATGTAGTATTACTCGTAGTATAATATATATATATATATATATATATCCACAGACAGACTATTTGGCTGTTTCACAGCTCATCAGTTTGACTAGACATCCAATTGCTCCAAGCCGGGATCGAAATCCGACTGATTTGGCCGGATATTTTAACCCTAAGCTATTGGCGCACGGCAGGGATGAAGGGGAATTTACACCTATTTATTTTTAGATAAACGCACCAGTGACCGGAGAACTTCGTCTTAAGAGAGGCAGCAGTAATAGTCACTGTTTCCAAATTCATATATATATATAACCAAATGGATAAACTTCGGTAAGAACTACAATTAAAAAAAATACAAAAAGACAAACCCTACCCATTAAACGGTAAATGTATATACAAATTGTTATTTTATGAAGCTGAAATCAAATATGACGACAAAATCAAGTTTTGTGTGGGCTCTACGTAAAACTACTGGAAATTACGCTTCTATCACCACCAAATGACATTGGGCAATTATCAAATATAGTAACAGCACTGCCCTCTCAAATTTTTTCTGGGAGCTTAAAAGCAAGAACAATTAACAATTAACAATTTCATTAATATAAATATTAGTATTACTGAACTAACTTAAAGTAGTGATATAAATTATTCTGTCATAATGTAAAATAAAAGTACTAATAAAAATAATACATATCAATGAAAATAAAATGATAAATAATAAAATAAGATAAAGTAAAATAAAAGAGCCTACACACATATATATATATATATATATATATATATATATATATATATATATATATATATATATATATATATATATATATATATCATGTGATATTACATCTATCCAAATATATATATATATATATAAAAGTATATCGCAGTAATCTGAAATTTGGCAAAACCAAATCAACCCAAAATTATAATAAATAATAATATATAGGAATTTGATAATTCAGAGGTGTGCATTCCTGTAAGGAATTTTTATATTCCTTAATATATATATATATAAGCAAGTGTAAATGGATATAAATCCGACAGAATGAAGAAATTTTGAAAAAACAAACAAAAATCCTTAAATGTAGTTAAATGAAAAGAAATGTCGACGTCTGACGTTTCGGTTTATTAAACCTTTTTCAAGACAATATTCATCAAAATACAATTCAGTTCAATATGACAAATACGACGGACAAATAAAAACACAAGTCTTATTCAGAACAGATAACTGAAAATTTTAAAATATGATCAGCCTTCCGTCTAACATGGTCACGCTGTCGTCACATGGGCGACGCTTTCATAACGTATTCCTAAAAGTTTGTGATTATTTTGAAATGAAAAAGGAAAAAGAAAATGAAAAGAATTCTATTAGGTTCTAAAATTCTTATGTGTATGCTTGTCGAGCATCAATCTCGCTAAAAAGGGGAAAAATAATGCGACAAACGAAATTTTCAGGAATTAAATGTGATATAAAGAAAATCCAGGTCTTTAGTTAGTATTCAATAAAGAGATGGATATTATACCTGAAAAAGTTTCATAAAACACGAAATTTTAAGGACCTCCTGAGATTTTTATTTTTATGAAAATATTTTGTAATACTTTCACGGAATCGAAATCCTCGTATTTGTAATATATATATCTATATTTTTTCTATATTTTAGATATACAACTAAATTATCAGAGTTTCTGAAATTTATCAAATTGTTAAAATAAAATCTCTCTCTCTCTCGAATATCTCGTTTATGTTCGAAAATATATATATATATATATATATATATATATATATATATATATATGTATGTATGTATGTATGGCCTTTCTCTCTCGTTCTCTCTCTATCTATATACCTCTGTATTTTCTCTCTTTATTTTCTTTTCTGTCTATATATATATATATATATATATATATATATATATTTTTCTTTTCTCTCTCTTATTATCTGTTATCTATGTTCCTATGTTTTCTATCTATTTTCTATATAACTCTTTCTTTTCTATCACTCTTTATTTTACTGCATGATATATATATATATATATATATATATATATAAGAAACATCGGATGTAATATGTTGTTTTTCTAATAATTTGCTATTTAATACGTTTAAACAATGTATATTCAGTACGGATAGTCCTATGTAGGTACTTAGTGTGAGTTTTTGTAATTTTTAATGCATTTAGATTATCAGAGATACGTTCGGTCAAATTGTTATTTATTTTCGGCATTTTTTTAAAACATGTGATGCGACCAAACGAAATATTATCAGAGGAATTCACTGAAATTTTAAATCCGTTATAAAATACAGAAATTTCAAAGGAGCAATCCGAGCGTTATAAAATAAGAATAAGACGAGTTAACTCCCCTTGACTTGGACAGCGGAACGAGAACAATCCACTTCCGTAGATTAAATAATGTGTTCACTTCGCATTTTCATGACGGGTAATCGGATTGACAAGCACCTGACGAAAGCCGAAGGACACAACTCTCGAAACGCTGTTATAACAACACCAAAGATGAGGACAGTTGTCCTAATTTAAATAAAATAATAAATACAAATAAAAAAAACAAACTCTGCATTCTCGAAATTGAAACTGAATGGGAAAGATTTTGAATGGTCATAGGCAGGCCTTAAGAATGCATTGCATGAGAGTTCACAAAAAACATTGCTTTATGTTAATTTTAACTGTATCACCGTGGTACAAGGAACCGGACCATAACAAATCCGCATAGAGATCAATACAGAGAAATAGTATAATGAATAGTATAGAGATAGAATTGTTTTCTCAGCTGAATCAGATGTTCCTTTAGTTTTAGGAGTGTTGAAGGAAATCAAGAAGAAAGGGTTAAACATCAATTACAAGAAGATAGAATGCATGGTTGTTAGCAAAAGGGACAGCCCCAAAAGCAAATTACATATTGGGGATACCAAAATGAAACAAGTAAAAAAAAAAATTTACATATCTGGGAAAGGTTATAACAAAGGACAACAAGTGCGACACTGAAATCTGAAGTTGCATAGGGATAGCCAAAGATGCCTTCCAAAAGCCAAGCAAAGTATTAAGAAACAGAAAAATTTCGCGAGAAAACAAGAAAAGAGTACTGAACTATTAAGTGATAGGAATCGGCTAATATGGCGCTGAATGTTGGACAATCTCTTCAAAGATGAAAACGAGATTTGAAGGAAAAGAAACGTGACTTCACTGAAGGATGTTCTGGATGAACATATGAGCAACAACGAAGTTTTAGAGAAAATGGAAACGTTTGTGATGTCGACGAAGATTCAGTTGCCACTTTTGTGATGCTAACAAATATTCGTTGTCACTTTCGTAATGCTCGTTGTAGTTGAGACCTTGTAATCGCAGATACAACTATAGTAACGCCGTTGAACAATACTGGTGTCAGACGCCTTCAAATAACCCTCGAACTAATAGTACTTGCTTGATAATACTCGATCGAATAGTAACCAGCGTAGTGAGATCTGAATAGAGAAATAGTATAGTGAATAGAGTATAGAATAGCGGTCCGTATTGTAATAGAGGATAAAATAAAAATGCCGATCGAATAGTAACAGAGGAGAAACTAGAAATAGCGATCGTTAGTCGTCAGCTACTTCCTACGTATAAGCGTTTCCTCTATGATCACGTGGTCTAGTAAATTCAATAATGGCATCGTCTGTGTTTGCTCACTGGCGATCTATGTTCAAACACAGGTGTCGACAGCGACACTTTATTCCTATATAATACAGATGCAATCTAAAAATGTGGTCGTGATCTTTACACGTTTCGAAATTCGTTTGTGAAAAGGGGGTCTATTCCCCAGCGGTTAAATGATATTTCCATTATCCACATTGGTCTACAAAACTCAAGAGGGATAGGTGTGATTGTAAGAATCATAAAGGTATTCCACGCTTGTCTGTCAGCGACAAAATTGTTGCTCGCATGATTTTAAACCGGTTCAATATCTCTCTCAGTTCAACCTGAAATTGAACATAGGTTTCGTTATAGAGGATACACAGGTGACATGATCTCCAGCCTAAAGCAGTTATTAAAAAAATCAAGATAAGAAAAAAACTATATGACTATCTTTTTTACTATTTCAACCCAAACAAGGAAATAAAGCCACTCAGACTCAAGAGTTGTCTGAGTGTGAAAAACATGAGAAAAATTACAATTAAGGAGAGAGGACAATAAAATAACAAAAATTAAGAAGACAGAAGATAACGATAGACATTGCATTTAAAATTTTGAAGATCAAACTTCGCTTGAAAGTAAGAATCTGGAAGAGTGTTGCACAAGAGTGAAGAGCGATAGAAGAAACTGTTAACATAGAACTTACGGTTACCTCTACCCATTTTATCTGTACAATGATGAGACCTTGGAGGAAATCTAGTACTTTTTTTTGTTTTTTTAAATATTTAACTCTAGAGAAGTGGGGAGGGCCATAAACACACAGGGGGTTACAGAGAGTGAAGGTGAGGGAAAAGACTGCTTATGATGAAAGGATAAAACAAGAACGGGGATCTTGTCAACAGAAGATGGCGATTGATGTTGCATTTAAATGTTTGAAGATTTTAGTTATCAGGGAAGCAAATAAGAGGAAGGGAGTTCCACTGTCGGGAAGCGTGAGTAAAGTAACGGATGGAGTAGAAGCGGTAGTTGCATTTAATTATTTCAACAGTAAAAGTGTTATACCCAGATGCCAAACTAGTGACACGCTTAACTTCATGTAGTCGCTACATCAGGGGAGATAGCTCGTCAAATCAGTTGCTATGAAACCATTCGTAGAAAAGACAGAGGGAAACCAAATAACGTCTATGAGCGAGTGACTGAAGTCGAGTTGTCAAGTCAGGACCGATTACACTGAAGGTCCTTCATTGGGTTTTGTCGAGAAGCTCGAGATGAACAGCAGGGGCACCAAACCAGATATGGCAACAATATTCAGTGCATGGGCGAATGGTAGATTTGTAGATGTGCAAAGTGGACGAGAAAAAAAAACTTCTGGCACGACACAGTGAACTGATATTCCTTGCAGAAGATGCAGCTATTAATTCAATATAGTTGTTCCGCCTCAAATCATCGGAAAACGTGATGTCAAGAAGGCGCAGTAAGACATTCTCACGGAGTCGAGTATCAACAACGCCGATAAGGGGGCAGGGAAATTTCTCTATAACAGTTAAATGAGCACAGTTTAGTTTGAGTTTACTGCGCTTAAATAAATAAAGTCTTTATACCAGAGAGGAAAGGTCATCAGAGCAATTACTATGAAAGAATTTAGACACAGGAAAGCTACATTACTTTTAAAGATGAAGGGCCTAGTGGTGAACCCATCATTACACAGTAAGTATCTGGTGTAAGCTCACGTCAATCCGTGTTTTAATATATGTTCCTTTAATATATGTTCCCTTTAATAATGGGTTTAAATTTTGACGCCATCGATTTCCAAGTAAGTGTTCTTAAGAATCGAACCAACGCCATGACATATGTCTCTATCGATTCGAGTAATTGTCTGTTACGCTCTTTATTTTGACAATATCTGTTATTCTTTCGATAAAATTTTATCGCTGATGATGGCACAAAGCTCGCGATTGCTATAATCATCGCGATTATAGAAGCACTGCGATCATAGTAATTAAGACGACAGTGATTAAATTCATAACTGAGATTATTGGCCAAATTAATTTAAACGCTCTAATAACGCAACATCTGATTACAAAATATGAATAAAAGACTTAATAGCAAAGAGTAAAGACGTTACTGGAAATGTTATCGTTTATAACAATGGACATCGTATTCCTCATATAATTAATGATAAAAATAATGATTAATATTATTGGTGAATAATGAAATAATTAGATAAGCGATCATGTTTCAAATTACTCAAATATTTTTAAAAAATGTGACAATGATGACAACAGTTGTTAATCATGATACGCAGATGATAGAGTACTGATAGAAGACACGGAAAAGAAATGACAAAATCCCCTACAGAAGGTAGCGACGGAGGGTGAGAAGAAAGGACTAAGCATAAACTGCAAGAAGACGGAATGGATGGTCATAAGAAGATGAGGCCGAAATGCGATTTGAACATCGGGAACACTAGAAAGCTGATAAAAGTCATTTCGAAAAATTCCATTTATTGTCACTTGGGCGAGAATGCCATGGAGAGAGCGCGTAAGAAACGTGGACAATGAAATAAAATGACTCTTAGAATAAGAAAGAGGACGCTGCATATTCTGGGACATATAATGAGGAGGATGAGCTTGGAAAATTTGACACTCACAGGGTATATCGAAAGCGAAAAATTCATTGATTTTTTTTTTGTTTGATTAACGGCATATCAACAATTTATGGGTCATTTAATCCCGAAATTTAATTTTCTTCTGAGCTTTGGGATGATAAAATATATGATATATGTTATTCTGCTTTCACAATTGAATACATGGTAGATGATACACAGCTTTTGTGTATATACATGTTTGTGTAGATATAATTACTAGAGGCGGTGATATGTGTGTTTTATGTTGTAGTTTTGTTAAAGTTATATTTTGGAATACAGTTTGATTTCTTTAAGAAATTGTAGGACATTATATGGATTCATGTCATGAAAGAGTTCTTTCATGTTGGTTGCTTGGTTGATTTTGTTTTCGGTATATCAATACCTCTATGGGTTATTTAATACTGAAATCTAAATATTTTGTACGCAGTTTTATGCTTTCAACTAAAGATATTTTGTACATAATTTTATACTTTGAGATTAAAAGTAAGTTTTTTACATATGCAGCTTGTAGATATTAAAATGTATTTTTGGTAATTTTACTATAAAAATGTATTTTTATATTTTTTTAAGCGTTGCATTGATTGTCAAAGGTCTTGTTGCCGGGTGTAGTTTATCGTCATACCCAGGACGAGAAAGTAAATGGGACATGAGATGAGGCAGTGAGTCGTCTACCTGACGAGCTTATGTGAATTGATGACAAAACGGTAAGTGTTAAGGATGGTATAAAAACAAGCATTAATAACAGTTGCAAAGGACAGGACGTAGCGTATAGACATTAGAATTCACCTTCTGATGGGACACTATACATAGAAGAGGCACAATCGTTATCATATTGGGCTTGAGCAAACAAGGCTTCCAATTTTAACTGATCGGAGGTGATAACCTGTCCATGCTTCGTCTTTGAAAATTAAGACAGAATACTGTAAATATACCGTTAAGCACCAAAGATTGCCTTGTCCGTGGCATGTCTTTTAGGCTCTGGCCAACTGTATGTTTCTGCCCATGAGTGGAAGTGGTAAAGAAGCATCATGGTTCGGTTTCGAGAATATTTTAAAATCTGGTAAATGAAACAGGAGAACCTATTTTTGATTTACATCTAGATATATTTTTACTGTTAATTCGCCAAGTACAAGACCGAAGGATCCCTGAAGGAAGAGTCTTCCTGCGTAAGACTGATATAAAAGAAGAGAGAAATGCATATTTTGAGGATATTATAGATCTAAATCGACTCTCAATTGTAGTCCAAGATGGTAGCTTTCAGGAAGAATCACTTCCACAAAGCAACAGTTCTGGGTAAGAAGTGGAACTTGCTCCTTATCAAAGAAATTTCGTGTTCCTTTGATAAGGAGGCAATAAGGATAGTTTGCCATCGTTAACGTGTCATGGTGGGTCCTAGCTGTGAAGGATTGTGTTAGTTTTACTAAGGAATATGACTCGTTCAAACATCTACCATAATTTAACGGAGGTGAAAGGCAGGATGAACAGTCGGCTACATTCGATGAGGCTGCCCTTCCCCGTCGATCAAAAAGACAACGTTTCGTGTGCTGCCTATGCAGGAGAGGATGGCCAGGGGGGAACACAAGAACTTTGAAAAAAATATGGTCGCAACCGTAGGCTAAGCGGTGCTTAGAATTTGTTTATGCAAATATTTGTGTCTGGTATAGTAAGATTACTGATGTTTCTGGTTTCAATATAAAGAGACGGATTTTCTGCTTCGTCAGTGAGTGAATTGTCAGTATTCCTATAGTGCGGATTTTGATTTCCTCTTTGTTCGTCCTCTCTTAACGGTGTCCCGGTTAAGTTCGACCTTCACTTGTATCGTTCCTATGTGGAATTCTTCGTCGCCCCCGCCGTGGACGTGTCCCTGTTTTATTTGCTTTGTTTTGTTTCTCTCCGGTGCTGCTGTTCGTTCTGTTCCTCCTAATCTGTGTTCCGGCAGCAGAAAAACAACTTGATAGAGTGATAACGTAGTTAGAAGCTTACATCATTTCCTCTATGAGATAAGATAATAATTCACCCCCCCACCACCACCACAACAAAACCGTTTAGTCGCTTCCGAATTCAAGACTGGACAGAGAGGACCAGGCAGCAACAGCCCAGATATGGCAGCAGTGCTCCATTCTTGATCGGATCTGACTCTTGTAAATATAGCACACGGCCGCGGAGTTTAAGTATTTTCTGGAGTGTTACAAAGAATCGGCGATTACCCCATCTTCTTTTGCGATAGCAGGAATGAACACACTCATTCGAAGACATTCTGAGCTGACTGGACGACAATAACTATCCCGTTCGGTACCAAAGATTTGCTAATCAATTGCATGAACACATTTGTTTGAACATGTCATCTAGAGGCTGGCCAATTGTTTATTCCTGTTCATGAGCATTTTAAAATTAGATGATAATAGTATTGCATGCATGCAGTCTCTTAAGGATAGTTAAGTTAATGGCTTATTAAGCTTCCTCCACGTAGAAGATGATATATACGCGCGTACCTGTGAACTTCGACTTTTTTAATTATTAATTTCTCAGATACCACGTGACATCGTGACCTACATTCTAAAGTTTATATTCTTCACTGTCTATTGGCAAGAGGCACTTATCAGCTATTAGTTAGAAGCACTAGTATTTTATTTTATTCTAAAACTTATACGGGAACTACCGTAGGTAGACTAACAGTACCCTATATAGAGCGGCTGTAACGTTACAGCAGCATTATATAGGGTACTGTACGTGCTCTTTTTAAATAATAAGAGTTATATGTCATAATTGGGCATCAGGATTTTAGAGGTGCATAGATTGGGCACCGCTGCTCTAAGTAATATTTGTCTTTTAACATCTCTCCTAATCCTAGTCCTTTGCACAAGATCATAAGGTTGGCTACTCACTGTTTGCCGGTCCCTCATACTTCAAGAATGTCCTGTCAGTGTCAAATTATTTCAACCCTTATTTATTCAGTATATGTCCAAGAAATTTTTACTCTCCCTGATAGCAAGTATAAGTGCCATTTTTTGTTTGTTTCCCTTAAAATTTTCTCGTTGCTCACATGCTCCGTCTATGCTATTCCTAGCATCCTCCTGTAGAGCTGAAAAGGGCGTGAGAGGAATAGTAGAAAGACAATGCCTACTGAGAGCTAGGAAGGAAAGGCAGTTGTGGAACGCCATAATAGTCCACTTCCTAAAGGGGCCCAATACAGTGACGCAGATTCACTTGTACGCTTTCTAACTAGTCTTCTTTTCCTTCAACAGCGTGTAAGCCGATCCCAGTAATATCATTTATCATTTTGAGCGAAGAAATGCCTTGCCAGCAATTCTCGCCGCTCTATTTCCCAGGCATTGAAACGGAAAAGGTGAAGGCCGTATTAGAAACAATATTTTCAAAAGCAACACCAGCGGCTAATGTTAATGCAGCTGCTGCAATCGCTGCAATTGCAACAATTATTCCTTCTCCCCCTTTCTTCTTCAATTGATGCAACAACTCAGATGCATGCATGAGATTCTGCAGCGCAACTTATCGGTCTTGCTTCTATTTTAATTTTTGCTTACCACGCTTAGTTAAGCGCAAGGCTAGAAATTATTAGGCACCCAGTGAGGATCAAACCCACTGCTCAGCATTAATAGTCAGTAAGACAAGTTTGATTGCCACTGTTCCACGCTGATGTATTCTGTTTTTATGTCCAAAGTTTAACTTTGTTTGGCACAAGGTCATAAATTTTGGGGTGCCCAGTGAGTTTCAAATACACTGCTCAGCATTAATAGCCAATAAGACAAGTTTGATTGACACTATGTCACGCTGTATTCTGTTTTTATGTCCAAAGCGTAACTTTGTTTGGCACAAGGTCATAAATTTTGGGGCGCTCATTGAGCTTTAAATACACTGCTCAGCATTAATAGTAAATAAGACAAGTTTAATTGCCACTATGCCACGCTGATGTATTCTGTTTTTATGTCCAAAGCTTAGCTTTGTTTGGCAGAAGGTCATAAATTTGGGGGCGCCCAGTGAGTTTCAAATACACTGCTCAGCATTAATAGCCAATAAGACAAGTCTGTTTACCACAATGCTACGTCGTTGTATTCTATTGTTATAACCAAAGTTTTGTTTAGTCTGGCACAAGGTCAGAAATTATGAGCAGTCAGATAGAATCAAATACACTGCTCAGAATTAACAGTCAACCAGATAAGTTCAGTTGCTATTACTCTACGACAATATATTATCGTTATATCCAAAACCTAGATTAGTTTGGCACAAGGTCATAAATTGTAGGGCACTAAGTGATAATCAAACAAACTGCTCAATATTAATGGTTAACTAATCTAGTGTGTTTGCAATTACGTCACACCAATGTGTCCAATTATTATTTAAAAAGCTTTAGTTAGTTTGACACAAGTTCTAAAAGTAAACCTCACTCTGTGTTGTGTAAACTCACTCATGAGTAATGGTTTAACAAGATTAACTTTCTAACCCTTATCTCACACCTAATGCTCTGTTTTTATTTACTAAACTTAGTTAACTTAACACAAGGCGGCTGATACAGAGCGCCTAGTGAGGATCAAATTCACTGTCGGCAACAAACTGTGGGTCAGAGTCATCTCTATCTATAAAAGGCAGGATGTGTAACGAATGCACGGCCGCAATTTTCGACGGATTTGCACCAAAATTTACATGCGCATGCTCCTAGGTACCGGGAAGGCCAAGACTGACTTTGCATTTCCTAACTCCCATCGATAGTCGAAATAATCGATTTTTTCATGCTTCTACGGCAGTTTTCATATAGTTTGCGGCCATTTTATACTGATGTTTAGTATGGAGCTTAGAAAAAAATTCGCAGTGTGAGATAGGCAAAAGTAAGGCATGTAGCAACATTAGCACGGCAAAGGGCACTCCTTTAAAGGCAAGGAAGAGCAAAAATATTTTAAGTCAATTGATAGTGATTGCTGTATGAATCGTACGATTTTTGAATCAAGCACGGGCAACGCCGGGCCATGCTGCTAGTTCTAAGATATAACATATTTTAGACAAGTCGTTTTCGCAATTATATAGTAATCAATTTCAAGAGATAGACCTTTTTTCTTCTATGCACCGTGTGCCTTCAGGACGTTGGCGATCATGTCTCTCCACAATGTCCTGTACCTAACAATAAATGTAAATTGAATGTGTTCATCTATATTCTCTCCCCTTTGAGTTTCATAGAATTACATCCGCTCTACAGAAAACTTCATTGCAAAAAGCTCACAGCAGAGACAAGATAAAATGAGCCTTTTTAATTTTATTTATCATCCACATACACACACATACACACTCACACATATAAGACTCTTCGTTAAGACGAGTCAAGTTCTTCGGTCACTGGCGTGTTTGTCTAGAAACGCTTAGGGCTAGAATCTCCGACTGATACCAAATTAGTCAGGTTTCGATCCCGGCTGGAGATAATCGGATGTCTAGCCACATAGATGAGCTGTGGAAATAATCGGTCTGTGGATGGCAATATGTACATGATATTCCTCAGAAAAAAATTATTTTGGCTGAGCTCTTCAGGGAGAAGCGTGAATTTGTAAACAGTGACTATTACTGCTGCTGATGCAAGTCTCTTCGTTAAGACGAATCGAGTTCTCCGGTCACTGGCGTGTTTGTCTAAAAATAGCATTGGGAGTCAGCCGGTCTAAGAAAAAGACAACTAAAAGGACAACTGTGAATTCAAATCATGTCGTTGATGCCAACCCGCACCGTATTCTGAGGTCTTCAACTGTCGGTTACGAACTTGGAGCTTGGAGAGGAGATGGTCGCCGCCTAGGGTCTTAAAGAAGATGAATCAAAGTTTCTTTCTTCTTACCTCAGAAATATATAAATATATATGGATAAGTCTTGTTCTTATGTACATCGTCTTTGTCATGTTGAATTGATAATGTTAATTATATTTTATGAATATGTCCTGAAGATGGTTTATTAGACCGAAACGTCCGACGTCGACATATTATCATTAAAAAACATCATAACTGTATATAAAGGATTTTTGTTTGTTTTTTTCCGTATATTTTTCTTCATATATATATATATATATATATATATATATATATATATATATATATATATATATATCCTGGGAAAAGAAAACGTCGCATATCCTGCCTCTCATTTGTATCACATCTATACAAAATTTTGAGCGAGGCCGATTTGAACATCGCTATCAACTGCGTGCAAATATTAAAGAAAATTGACAGCATGTTGATCCTCGCCTGCAGTAAAGTGTGTCTCGCGGAAACATGTCGCAATTGATCCGCAACCACGCGATCAAAATGACTGAACCACATGTTCCCTATGTCTAAAAATCTAATGCCCAATGTCACCATGGAAGACCTCCTAAGTGATGTGCTTCATAAGTGGTTAACAGCGATGTTTAAAAACCCTGCTTTTGTTCACCTCTGGTGAAAATGCGTAGCCGATAGTAATGTAGGCCTTGCTTAAGGAAACGTTGTTATACTTTTTGTATCTGTTAGGCATGGTTGTTAGCAAAGGGGCCGGCCGAAGAAGCAAATTACAAGGTGGAACGATTTAACTATCCGGGAAGCGTATTAACAGAGAACGGAAAGTGCAACACGGAAATTCGTTAGGGACATGGGGATAGCGAAATAAGTCTCTCAAAATCTGCACAAAGTAGTTAAAATGAAATAGAATAATATTGTTAGAATCGAAGAAAAGCGCACTGAACTGTTATATAGCATCAGTCCTCCTATATGGTAGTGAATGGATTGACGCACATTTAGATATGTTATATAAGCTGGTGCTGACGGATGTCGTCAGTATTTCGTTATGATGAAAAGATTGCTTAACTTTGACGTAATATCATTCCTCCTATACGGTAATTAGTGCTGGACAATCTCCTCACAGATGAAGAAGAGAATTGAATCAACAGAAATGTGGTTCTGCATAAGGATGCTGAGAATACGATGGACAGGACATGTGAGCAATGACGAAGTCCTGGAGACAATGGCAACAGAATGGATACTTATGGTCAACACCAGAAAGACAGATCAAATATATAGGGTATCACGAGTTACTAGACAAAATCCAAAGACATATACACAATATGATCGGCCCTGCCTTGGGGTCTTGATTCCAGTCACTTTCTCACGGACGTAATGTGACCTCCTTCTGTCTTTTCTATAAATATTTTTTTATGACATCTGCTTTGACGAACTATTTTTCCTGGTGCCCCAACTGCAGGAATTTAAGCGTGCTACTAGGTTGGCATCTCGGTCCCAACCTTTTACTGTCGAAACAGTTAAATGTAACCGCCTCTTCTACTTTAATAGCTTCTTCTGTCGGACTTCTCCTCAGTGGAAATCGCTTCCTCTTATTTGCTTCCCAATAAGCAAATAAGAGGAAGCGATTTTCTTTCTGTTGTTTTAATTCTTTCTAGATTTCCATTCTTTTTATTTTTCGCTTTTTCATTCTCTCAGTTGGCATATTTTTCAGCTATTGGTTTTATTCCTGCTTTAATTCATTGAGTCATTTTGATCATATAAGTGTCCATCGTATTCTCAGCATCCTTGTGCATTCTTATCGTCTTTATCGCTTTCGTATTTTTTCTTCTCCATATTTCTGTTCATTTCTTTATCATTATTCTTTCTTTCTTTTCCTTTCATTGTTTTCCTTCATTTTTCTTTGCTCTTTCTACTTTATCGTTTTCGTATTTTTCTTCGTATTTTTTCTTCATTTTTTCCTTCTTTCCTTTCTTTTTCATTCTTCTTTTTCCTTTTATTCTTTACATTCATTTTTCTTTCTTCTTCCTTTTTTTTCCTTTCTTTATCGTCTTCTTTTTCTCTTCTGTTCTTTTTTCTTTGTATTATTTTCTTTCTGTCTTTGTTTCTTTGTTTCATTCTTTATTTCATTTTTTTCACTCATTTTTTTCTTTCTTTTCTTTTTTTTAAAATTTTCTCTCTTTCCTTCATTCTTTCTTAATATCCTTTTTACTATATTTCTTTCATTCTGTCAGTTTCTCTTTCATATTTCCGTTTCCTTTACTGACTTATAAGTTTTCTTTTCCCAAGATATTTTTCTCTCTCTTTACTTCAAATTGTTCATTGTTCGAAAGCATTTGATTTTTTTTATGAACCCATTCCGACATCTCGGCCTTGTCTCTTTCCTCTTCATCATTTCCTTCTCTCTTTACGCCTTCACTTTATTCCTTTCGTTCCTTTGTTCCCTCTTTCATTTACCTTCGGCTTCCTTTTGTCTTTAATCCCTTTCTTTATATTTCCTTCCGTTTTCTTTTTCTTTTCTTTTTTTTTCTCTCCCTTGCCAAATACGTGCCTCTGGTTGAAAACCGATCTCAGAATCACGTGTTAGTTTGAACTGCAGTTGCCTGTTCAGTTTGCTTGATGCCGGCTGCGTGCAAAGAACACCTACAACTGCAGTAAACGCTATTTCACAGCCTCCACTAACAAAAGAATAAATGCAGAGAAAATGCCCGTCTCCCGGGCCTACCTCCCCTCAATAGAACGCTCAATATTTTTTTCCCCCCCGACAGCCCCATCATACTTTCGTTCTTTCGCACGTTCCCCCGTTAGCAGCTCTTGTGCACCCGCCCGCATGTACCGGATTGGAGCCATTGGTCCATTCTTGAGAATCGTTATAGTCTTCAGTTTTCCATTGAATTCCTAATTGCAAAAAGCGTCTTGCATGTCGTCTTTTAGCCGCAGCCAACTAACAACCGACTCTTTGCTTGCAGTGGATCAATTTCGACGTTCATTTTTTTTTTTTTTTTTTTTAACGTTTGTTTCTTTCTTAGTTTGTATCGTTTTCAATTTGATTTATTTTTACTAAAGGCGCGAACAAAAATCAATACCTGCTTATCCGCACTCATTTATAGACCAATGGCTTGTTTGGTTTTTATTTTCCTTTAAAAACTATTTTTATGAATATCAAAAGAGAAAAGACAAAAACAAACAAGAAAGAATTAAAGATCATTTTCTTTATTCGTACTTTTGCCGTTTTTCTACTTCCAATCTGTATGTGCGTGTGTATGTGCATATATGTGTGAATGTGAGTGTTTCTGCATGTGGTTTGTGCGTAAGTGATTGTGTTTATTTGAGTGTGTGTTTGTGTGTGTGTGTGTGTGTGTGTGTGTGTGTGTGTGTGTGTGTGTGTGTGTGTGTGTGTGTGTGTGAATGTATGTTTGTGTATGTGTGAGGGTGAGTGTATGCGTGAGAGTGAGTGTGAATGTATATATGTGTGAGTGTGTATGTGTGTAAGTTTGAGTGTATGTATTTCAGAGTGTGTGAATATATGTGTGCGAATGTATGTGTGTGAGAGTGTATGTATGTGAGAGTGAATGTGCGAGTATATATGTGTATGCGTGTAATTTTGTGTGTGTGAGTGTATATGAGTGTGTGTGTATTCTTGTGTGTGTTTGTGTGAGTGTGTGTATGCGAATGTATGTGCGTGAGTATATATATATATATATATTTTAGTCTGTATTTGTGTGGGGTTGGATGCGTGTGTTTGGGAGGATATGTGATTGTGAGTGTGTTTGAGTGTCTCTGTGTGTGTGTGTGTGTGTGTGTGTGTGTGTGTGTGTGTGTGTGTGTGTGTGTGTTTCTATCAAGTGGATGTGTGTGTATGTATTTTGTGAAGTGTATGAGTGTAGTGATTTTCCAAGCGTAGCTCAGATGTGGCACAAGGCCGAAAGTATGGGGTACCCAGTGAAGATCGAACTCACTACTCAGTCGTAATAATTCTATCGAGACAAGCTTGCCCAAAGTGTAAATGAGTGTATATCAGTATGTATTTGAGAGTATCCGTCAGTGTCTGTTAGCGAGTCTGTGTCAGTGTGCCGGTGTTTTTGCAATCTTTCTCCTATTTCACTCTGTTTCCTTCTCCATTTTCCTTCGCTGACTCCTTCATTCTACTTCTTCTTCAACTCTCTCTACTTTTCTTCTTTCTTTCTTTTCATCACCAACGCCGTCTTTTTTTTTTTTTTTTTTTTTTTTTTCGTGCCTACTCTTTTCTTTTCTTCCATTCATCTTTCTTCGTCCGTTTTCTTTCTTTGTTTCTCTCTTTCTTTCTTTCTTCATGCGTTTATTTTTTTCTCCTTTAACTGCTTCTTTTTCCCATTTTCTTCTTTCTTCTTGTCCTTTTCTTCCCATATCCTTTATTTATTTCTTCCGCTTTTTCATCATTTTCCACTTTTTTTCTTTCTTTCCTTTTTTGTTTATTCGTATATTTCCTTCTCATTCAGTTTAATCATATTTTCTTGTCCTCTTTTCCCACATCTATTCTTCATTTTCTTTCTTTCTTTTTCTCTCTTTCTTTCTTTCTTTTTCTCCCTTTCTTTTTCTTTCTTTTTCATTCTTTCTTTCTCCTTTCTTTCTCCCTTTCTTTCATTCTTTCTTTCTTTCTTTCTTAGCATTAGCTACCTACATGTTTTTGTGCTCTCTTCTTTATTTTGTCCCTTTTTCCTTTTCTTCTTTATTTCTTTTTTTCCTGTCCTCTTTTTTCTTCTACGTTCTTAATTTATTTCTATAATTTCGCTTATTTGCTTTAGTCCGCTTTTCCCTATTGGTAACATTTCCTCCTCCGCAACCTTCTTTCTTTCTTTCTTTCTTTCTTTCTTTCTTGAACAGTACCACTGACTTTTCACCATTTCCTTATAATTAGAGTAAAACATTAAGTCAAGTTTATTTTGGTTTGGGATGGATCAGCATTTCTCGAAAATTCGCATGCAAAAGCCTCGTTTTCGCCAGTTTCCGAACAACGATTACGGATAATGAAATACACAACAGTTAGTGATACCAAGCAGTACACCAGAGAAGATTTGAGTTAAGATAAAAGATTAATGTTGTAAGGCCTGTCTTGCAACATTCTTTTGAATCAAAGGAAAGAAAACTCAACCAATGAATGCTTTTCACGTTTACTCATCATTTTGGTTGCCTATCAATTTGTTGCACTTTAAAATGCATAAGATTTACAATAAGAATGCCGTGAATAGATTATTTAATTTCGAGGCAACTGATAATCCAGAAAATGTATACTTCGCCCTTGCTCTGAAAATGTGAAGAACATACTATAGCTTCAAACTTGTTCAGGAAGAAGCTCTTAAAAATTATTTACCATTGTTTCATGGCTAATTTGTTTTTAAGCAAATCACCCCAAGTAAGTCGGGAGTGCCACTAGCACGCAAGAGGTTACAGAGAATTACAGGTAAAAGTAAGGAGGGGTGTTTGGAAAAGGGATAAAGAGAAGTACAGGGATCAAGGTCAAGGCATTAGATGTCGATTGACATAACATTTGAATATTTGAAGATTATAGCTATAAGGAATCAAGTGATAGAAAGGGAGTTCCACTGACGGGAGTTGCGAGATAAGAATCTGTTGGAGTAGAAGAGACGGCTACATTTAGTCGTTTCGACAGTGAAATAGTGGGACCGCAATGCCAACCTAGTAGCGCGTTTAAAATCATGCATTTGGGAACCGGTGAAAATAGCTTGTCGGAGCAGTTGCCATGAAAATACTTGCAGAAAAGACAGAGGAAAGCCACAGCACGTCTGTTAGAAAATGACTGAAGCTGGGATGCCAGATCAGGGCCAGTCACGTTGCATATCCGTCTCTGGATTTTGTTACTAACATTAGCATCATAGGATACAAGGACATCATGTAGGGTACAAGGACGTCACGCTCCGAATAATTATGGGACAGATGAGCATTTTCATTTTCATATACCATCACGTTAATTGCATATTTTCTGAAGTTAATTTAATCTTTGGCATTTACAAGGACGCGGCACCTTGTGAGAATCGAACTCGTTAAGCTAGCAAATGTTTTTGCGGGATTAGTTTGTTAACTATAGATCATTACCAGGTGGCTATTTGTCATCGTTCTATATCTCCCGTATTGTTATTGTTTCTTCTTCTTCTTCTTCTTCTTCTTCTTCTTCTTCTTCTTCTTCTTCTTCTTCTTCTTCTTCTCCACATCCTCCTCCTTCTTCTTCTTCTCCTCCTCTTCTTCGATTGCTTTCAGTCTGCTCCTGTCTTACGGCCATATCACGGGGAAGCACCGATTCTCGAACGATCGCCGTTAAGTTAAGCAACGTCGGGCCTGGTCAGTACGTAGATGGGTGACGGCGAGAAATATCAGGTGCTGCATGCCAAGGGTGTGCGGATGGTGTAAGGGATAACGGAGAGCCGTGTTCTCATTCCGGTCGGGTTCGCTATATTCCCTTTACGCGCGTATATCATTGAGAAACGTATAGACCCACCTCTTCGCCCTTCAGCTATGGCTTTATTAGTAGGACTTGTATCAGGGAATCATTATCATCTCCAAAATAGTTTCTTCCAATCTAAAATCTATTTCTGGCCTTAAATAACCTGCTACAATTTGATAATCCGTAAAAAACAGTCAATTTGTTTTATCTTTTTTTTTCTTTCGGTTTTCATCCCTTTTTTTAGACTTAATTTTTACAACAATATTTTCTTGTGCTGTTAGCCTTTTTATTTTTTTATAAATAATTTCAAATTTGTGAGTTTGTGGCAAAGAGTAACTTCTTCATGTACTTCTTTTGCTTTTCCTTGTTATTCTTTCCTTCATATAATTCTTTTGGCATTCCCAGGAACCCATATATTTGGCATTTTTTAATATTTAGACTTTCTTCATACCATCATTGAGAAATCATAATCAAACCTGGAATATTTTCTTCTATATAATTGTATATTAGTTTTCTGGGAAGGAAATTATTATTATTGTTATTATTTTTATTTTCTTTGATTTTTGGCGTTTACACATTTCTTTCCGGGTCCCGCCCAGGGACCTAAGGTTAGAAATGGTGTCATGATACTTTCCACTGCCAAAAAAAAAAAAAGAAAATTAAATTACATAGATAAAGCCCTTCGTAAGGTGTGGGCTGTACTTGTCAGAACAATTTTTTTGTATCTCCTTGAGGCATGGACTTCCAGGGATCCCTTCAATTAGTCTACTGCAATCTTTTCCAACCAGTCCTAGGGCTACAACTACAACAGGGATTGTTGATGTTCCCATATGCCACATTTTCGAGATTTCTATTTCAAGGTCCTTGTACTTTGACAACTTTTTGAATATCTTCAAAGATAAATTGCAGTCAGCAGGGACTGCCATATCAATAAGGAGGCACCGTTTTTGTTTGTGGTCTTTAATAACAATATCTGGCCGGTTGGCCTTGATTGTTCTGTCAGTGTGTATTGTGTAGTCCCATAGAATTGTAACAGGTCCTATCTACGTAACCGGGTCTGGGTGGTGTTCATACCAGTTTCTTTCAGTTTCCTTCCCGTAGAAGTTGCAGATTTTTATTATTATTATTATTATTATTATTATTATTATCTCATTTTCCTTTCTTGCCTTTTCTCTTCTTAGCATGCATATCGTCTTCATATCACTCACTTTGTCAATTTTTCTCTTTCTTCCTCATTCTAATTTTTATCCTTTCTTTCGCATTCTTCTCCTTAGTCTGATCATGTCTTTTTGTTATTTTCTTAGTGTTTTTCCTTTTCTCGTATTTTCCTGTTTAAAGATGTATTATTTACTTCTCTTCTATTCTTCTGGTTCTATTTTTTCACTTCCCCCAGCGACCTTTTCATCTTTTTTATTTCTTTCATTCTTCTCCATTTTAATAATTACTTGTACTTCTGGAGTTACCCCACTTACTTTCCTAAAAAAAAAAAGATCCCTAAGACTATAAATACGCAGTGACATTCTTTGTCATCCTCTTTTTTTCTTTTTTCACACAGGGACGGAAAGATGTAGATCGAACGAAGGAAACGCTTTCCCACTTGATTTTCTCTAGGATTTTCTCCTACAGCAAACTACACACGAAAAAAAACGTTCACTAGTTTTCTTCTTTCAATATCATCGCGCAAAAGATTGCTGACCTCAACGTGATATTTTGTCCTGCATAAAAGAAATGCCCAAAACTGTATTAGAAGACTCATGCATCTTGTAAACAGCTTTTTTTTTTCAAACCGAAAGCCAGTGAAGAAAAACTTCGATCAATATATCCACCTACCCTACACAGAAGACCCGGACAACTTTCAACAAAAAACAACTTACAGTTAAAAGAAAAATTGTAATTAGACCCGATAAAAAAGCAAAATCGCAAATTCCAAGGCTCTAAAGCACATCTGCATGGCATTACTATCTAGAAAAGATCTTCTCCAAATCAGCATATAGTTTTCTTTGCAAAAATTGTCACCCCAAAAATCCCTAATGGCCATTGCACTCACTACTACGATGTCACGGTCAACAGGAAAACCTCACTCATCTCATCTCTACTGCTTTTTGTTTGGCCCTTTCTTTCTTTTATTCCATTACGCCTAACTTCTTCCGCCGGTTGACATCACAAAAAAATTCACTAAAACGAAAAATACATTTTTCGTCTTAGGAATTTGAAGCAAGCAAAATACGGTTCATTTACTTCAAGACCACACGAGAAAATATTCAAACACCACGAAAGTTAACTCAATTTTGAACTCTAAAATAGCGCTGTTTGTCTTAGGCTCAACAGATAACGAGTAAAATAATTCCAAAACGACTCACCGACCTTTTTCATTCTTTAAAAATGTTAATACGAACAAACTAAGAAATCTGCAAGTACGATTTAATAATACACGAAGATAATTACGTCTCTGAGAAAAATCGGCAATAATATCAGATAACATGCATTCGACAGAAATTTCACCATCATCGCTCAACAGCTTTACAAATCGAAGCTTCTATTAAAATTTTGTGCGCCATCATCATCCACGAACAGAAAACAAACGATGCCTTCTAAACAAAATCAATTCACATGAAGCATTGGAAAACAACAAAATTTTAATAAATACCAGCTGTTGAACACTCTTTTTCGACACTATCGACATATTTTCCAGGGCGTGATACGACACTGATCCACTTGAGAATTATATAACATCCTGATGACACTATTTCAGACAAGTACATTTTCGTCGACATGTTTAAACACACATCGCTACTACACTGTTCCACTCTTTTTCTTTTCAGCTAACGTGGGACAAAACAAGCATACAAACTTTATGGGCAGAATAAAATGGAGAGGATTACTGTTGAGTTACCCTCCTTACTCTCCTAAAAAAAAAAAAAACCTGACTAGGATGCTCCCTAAGCCTATAAATACTCAAGAATGGAAAGATGTAGGTCGAACGAGGAAAACTCTTTCCCATTGTGGAACTCACATGCGCACGCAAGCACGTACGCACCTTTTAGTTAATTTTCTCTAAGACTTTCTCCTACACCAAACTGCGCACACATAAACACCTTCATTAGTTTAAATGTTTTCTTCTTTTATATGCATTGTTTTGTAACATGCAACAATATTCTATTGTTTACATATACCCTTATTTTGTCAATACATACTTATCATTTGTTTACATATATATATATATATATATATATATATATATATATATATATATATATATATATTTATTTATTTAAAAATATGATTCCAACACTACATTTTTAAATAAATAATTATATTTATGCTCTACTATTGTATCGAGCAGTATTTTTTTAAAATAATAACAAAAATACTAAAGAACTTTGGATTATTTACCTAACGAGTTCTTTCCTATTTTCTATATATATTTTACATATATATATATATATATATATATATATATATATATATATATATATGTGTGTGTGTGTGTGTGTGTGTGTGTTGTGTATTTTGTTGTACAAGAATGGACCCAGCACATTGAAGAGGAAACCTAAAACCTAGAAAACTTGGTCTTGAGGGCACTGGGTCGCTTCTCTTTTCTTTCATGTACGTCTATATTTTGCACTGACATTGATAAACATTAAACATTACTGGCGTTCATTTATTGCCCGGACTCACATTCCGAGTCCGACATTTTTCTTATGGGATAAATATAACAGGAGACACGTGTTTTCCAATTTAATCACAACCAGCATACTCCCACAACACGCTTTTCTCTTCTGCTGCCTTTTTTCTTACCTTGACTCGTTCTCTGTTTTTGTCTTTACATCCTTCCTCGATCTTCTGACAGATTCCTCCATCTTTTCTCATCGCTTCTTCCATTTCAGTCTTCATCCTTTTTCGTCAATGTTGTCCTCCATGTTTTCAAACACCATTTGTAGGTGAATATTAACTTTTGGTGTAGCGGTGGTTAGAGAATTTCTTTCTTCTACATTTCTTCGTGACTTTTTTTCTCATCTTTATTTTCGCTTCCGTTCTTGAATAATTCCCACCCTATTCTTCTGCAGGAATCCTTTTTTTTCATTTCAGCTATAATTTCTATCCATTCTTCATCATCATCAAACAGATCTCCTTCCATTCATTTTCTGCTTCTTCCTTCTATCTACTCGCTTTTCGTTCTTTAACAAACTTTCTCTTTTCTTTTAATTTCTCTTTCGTATTCTGTCGTTAACTTTTTTTTTTCTTCTTTATACTCTTCTATTTAAGTTTATATTCCTTTGTTTGCGATAACAAGTCCCACTAATCGAGCAACGAAAGGAAACGTTAGGCTCGCTGGATCATTCTCAGATGAAGCTAACTAACTGCTGTTTTCGGGGATATTCGTTGCTTCCTGTACTAGAGTTACACTTGCGCCTGATTGGAACCTGGCGGGGGCGAAAATCACGTTATCAGCTGATGGTTGGGGAACTTGTCCAAGGCCATAACCAGGAAGCATATAACAAGCTCTTTTGCCTGACTTGATATTTTCAATTTGACTTGACAGATATGGCTGTCTATTTAAATTATTATTTCCTTCCTCTCTCTCTCTCTCTCTCTCTCTCTCTCTCTCTCTCTCTCCCACTTTTGCTCCCTTTTCCTTGACTTCTTTCTATTCGCGTTCTATTCATTTTTGTAGACCTTCAACAAATTCTCTTTCTTTCTCTTCTTTTATTTTAATTTTTTCATTCATCTTTTATTCCTTAATTTTTTTTATCTTTTTTATTCCTTAATGCTTTCTTTCGTTCTTTCAATCTTTTTAAATTCTTCAAATTTTTTTCATTCATCTTTTATTCCTTAATGCTATCTTTCTTTTTCTCTTTCTTTCTTTTTATTTTTTTTTATTTTTTATTCATCTTTTATTCCTTACAGTCTTTCTTTTTCAATTGTTTTTCAATTTTTTAAATTCATTTTTTATTCCTTAAAAATACCATCTTTCTTTCTTTCTTCCTTACTTTCTTTTCGGCCATTATTTATTCTGCAATGCATTTCGTTCTTTCTATCTTTTTAATTTCTTCAATTTTTTTCATTCATCTTTTATTCCTTAATGCTATCTTTCTTTCTCTCTTTCTTTCTTTCTGCTTATTTTTCATTCATCTTTTATTCCTTACAGTCTTTCTTTTTCAATTTTTTTTCAATTTTTAAAAATCATTTTGTATTCCTTAATGCTTCATTTCGTTCTTTCTATCTTTTTAATTTTTTCAATTTTTTCATTCATCTATTATTCCTTGATGCCTCCTCTCTTTCTTTTTTTTAATTTATTTTTCTTTCCTTCTATCTTTCTATTTTTCCCGTTCTTTCTTTTTTTAATTTAAAAAAAATCATCTTTTAATCCTTATTTCTATTTTTTCTTTCTTTTTAATTTTTTAATTTTTTTCTTTTATCTCTTATACCTTAATGCTATCTTTCTTTTTTTTTCTTTCTGTCTTAGTTTCTTTCTTCCTACTATTCTTTCATTTTCAATTTATTTTTTAATTTCATCTTTGATTCCTTAAAGCTATTTTTCTTTCGTTATTTCTTTCTTTTTATTTTTAAATATTTTCATTCAAATTTTATTCCTTAATGCTATCTTTCTTTCTCCCTTTTTTCTCTCTTTCTTTCTTTCCGTCTTTCTTTATTTCTTTCTTAATTTTAAAAAATTTTTTCATTAATCTTTTATTCCTTAAAGCTATCTTTCTTTCTTTTTTTCTTTCTTTCTTTCTTTATTTATTTATTTATTTCTTACTTGCTTTCTTCCTTCCAATCATTCATTTTTAATTTTTTTTTAAATTTTCATTCATGTTTTATTCTATAATGCTTTCTTTCTTTTTTCTATCTTTCTTTTTAACTGTTTTAATTTTTCATTTACCTTTTATTTCTTAATGCAATCTTTCTTCCTTTTATCTTTCTTTCTTTTTTCTTTCTTTCTTATTAACTGTTTTAATTTTTCATTTATCTTTTATTTCTTAATGTAATCTTTCTTTCTTTTTGCTTTCTGTCTTTTTAACAGTTTTAATTTTTAATTTACCTTTTATTTCTTAATGCAATCTTTCTTTTTTCTTCCTTTCTTTTTAACTGTTTTAATTTTTCTTTCATCTTTTATTTCTTAATGCAATCTTTCTTTTTTCTCTCTTTATTTTTAATAGTTTTAATTTTTCATTTATCTTTTATTTCTTAATTCAAACTTTCTTTCTTTTTTCTTTCCTTCTGCCATTCTTTCTTTTTTTAAATTTTTCATTCATCTTTTATTCCTTAATGCTGTCTTTTTCCTTTCTTTCTTTTTCTTTCTTTCTTTTTTCTTTCTTTCTTTCTTTCCATTCTTTCTTGTCATTTTTCTAATTTTTTTCATTCATCTTTTATTCCTTAATGCAATCTTTCTTCCCTTCCTTCCTTCCTTCCTTTCTTTCTTTCTTTCTTTCTTTCTTTCTTTCTTAATTCTTTAACTTTTCTTTCATCTTTTATTCCTTAATTCTATCTTTCTTTTTCTTTCTTTCTTTCATTCTTTTTTTATTTCTATTTATTGAATTTTTTCATTCATCTTTTATTCCTTAACGCTATCCTTTTCTTTTCTTTCGTTTTCTTTCTTTCTTTCTTTCCATTCTTTCTTTTTTATTTTTCTAAATTTTGTCGTCTATCTTTTATTTCTTAATGCAATCTTTCTTTCTTTTCGATCGCTCGCCCCTCCGTTTATCGTTTTAATTCTTTTTTTCATTTATTCCTTAATACCATCTTTCTTTCTTATTTTCTTTTCGGTCACTCGTCCATCCGTTTATCCTTTTAATTACTTTTTTTTCTTTTATTCTTTAATGCCATCTTTCTTTCTTTCTTTCTTTCTTTCTTTCTTTCTTATTTCGAACATCCATCCATCATTCTTTAGTATTAATTGTTTCCCTTTTTGTTAATGCCATCTTTCTTACGTTTTCATTTTCTCATTCATCTGTTATCCTGTAATGCCTTCTTTTTTTCTTTCTTACTTTTTTCTTCTTTCTTTCTTTCTTTCTTTTTGATTTTCCGTCATTCTAGAATTTTAATTCATTCCTTTATTCTTTAATGTCAATCTTTGTTCCGTGTATTCCTTAATTTAAAATCTTCAATCAAATTTTATTTTGTTCATTTTCTTTCTTCATTTTTTGATCTTCCGATAGAATTTTTTTTTTTAAATTATCCTGTAAGTTTCAATTATGTCCGTCTTCCAAAGTTGTCTTCCAAACCCTAAGTAAAGTATTAAGTACCAGTAAAATTTAGTTAGTAACAATGAAACGAATGCTCGCCTGCAATTTAATATCAGTCCACCTGCATGGCAGTGAATACTGGACAATTTCCTCACAGAGGAGGAGGCGTCTTGATATTACAAGAATTTGAATCGGCAGAAGGACGCTAAGAATATGATAGAGGGAGCATATGAGTAACGTTGAGGTTTTAAGGAAAGTATCAACATAAAATGAGCTTCTACTTAGAATCAGAAAAAGAAAGTTAAAATTTCTAGGACACATAATGAGGAAAGAATGCTTGTAAAGTTTAACCTCACTAGACATGTTGAAGGCATTAGGGACAGACAGGAATATAGAATCACCTATAGAATGAGCCTGTGTAAATCGATGGTAGGTATATTTTGAGAAGGATATTAACAGTCAAACAATGCTAAGGGCTACAAAATATAGGATGCTGTGGAGAGCCATGATCGCCCATATGAATAGACCCAACATATAGAAGAAGTAACTTAAGACCTAGAAAACTTGATCTTAAAGGCACCTGGGCGTTTCTCTTTTCTTTCATGTACGTGTACATTTTGCGTTGACATTGATAAACATTAAACATGACCTCAATTATTACCTGGACTCACATTCCGAGTCCGACATTTTTGTTATGGGATAAATATACCAGGAGATAGTGTTTTCCAACGTAAACAGAACCAGTATAGTCCGGCAACTTTTCTCTTCTCCTACCCTTTCTTCTTACCTTGACGAGTTTTCTTCTTTTTTCTTTTTTTTTTTTTGTCTTTCTTTCCATCCTTTATCTTCTGATAGAGTTCTTCCTTCTCTTCGTCCTCGCTTCTTTCATTTCAGTCTTCATCCTTTTCCGTCACTGCCGTCCTCTCTGTTTCTAAACAACATTTATAGGTCATCATTACCTATATTTTTGGCGTGAGTCATTTCTTCTACATTTTTTCCTCACTTTTCTCTCTCATCTTTATTTTCGCTTCCGTCCTTGCGTCATTTCCATCCTATATTCCTGCTGGTATTCTTTTTTTCATTTCAACTATATCTAAATTGAATCATCTACCAAAATTTTTTCCATGAATAAATCTGGATTTCACCTATGGGGTAGTTAATACCCTTATATCGACACTTTCGTATATTTTAGTGCATGTGTAAGTAATTTTTTTATCTTAATTAAACAGATATTTTTTTTGTTTACAAAAATGAGAAACTTAAAATTAAAATATAAACAATAAACACCCTATTTGATAGGACCAGATTAAAATACACTGGACGGCCAGACCAGAGAAAAGATCTATCAGGTCTAAAACTATCCAAGCCCTGCGTTTTGGATTAAAATTTCAAAATGGCGACCAAGTAGACACAATAGTTAAGAACTGTAAACACAAAACGTTAATTTACGAAATGCTTAATTCAATGAATAGTTACGGCCACTATGAACACAAACAATAAAAGTGATCTATGACAGAGCCATTTAAAGTGACTAGGAAACGTAACTACAAATAAAGAAATGTTCATCACCGACATAGATAAAGGCGGTGTAATCGTTATAATGAATAGGAAAAGCAAAAGTAATGAAAATAGACTGAAGGATACAAAATAAAAAGAAATAAAAACGACTTAATAAGAAATAAAGTTTAATAAAAAGTAAAAGGAACTTATTTAGCCAAAATCAATAACATAGGAGATTAAATTAAGCAGGGGACATTGCAAATCAGTAAAAGAGTTTTTTGTTTTTTTAATTATCCAAGCGATCGTTTAAGCACATTACACCAAATGTAATCATTAATTAGCTAAAATATGAAAAGAAGTCATCGTAGGAATTTAATGATCTTTCAAATAGACCACAAGAAAAAAACACTGTTGATGTCTAAAAGAGAAAAAGTCAATTCATCGAGCTTCTGGCTTATTCATTACTGAAATGCACCACTCGATGGACATACGATGTAGTAATTACGCTGGTATAAGCAATTGAGAACATTGACTCCTTTATAAGGACTTCTAACGTAATTGGATTGCTGAGTCATCTTCTCTTTCTCTCAGTATGTTTTACTTATATCTTTCCCAATATACAAAGTTCAGTCAAAAATAACAACTGCTGGTATTGAATATAATTTGTTGAATTTAATATTAAAACTTAAAAAAAATGAATCGGTTCATATCTATCTATATATATATATATATATATATATGAATAAAAATGACAATAGGAAAACTGGTAATTGCTGACGCGTTTCGCCCAATGTGGACTTTATCAAAGCAAAATACGAAAATGAAATTAAATGAACAAAGTAACTAATAAAAACAAAAACAGAATGTTCCTAGAAACTGGAATGTAGAGAAACGCTATTTTCATATTTTTAACTGAAAAATAACGTCAGTATTTGTCACGTGTGGAGAATAGTGTCATTATATCTGTTTATGTATTCAACCATTTTCTTTTAATTTTATGAATCTGTTGTGTATATTTGTTTGTAAGAGCAGTAATTTTGTTAAGAAATGTGAAATGGGGAAAAAACCTGGGCGTAGATTAA